GTTTTTTTTTTTTTTGTTTTTTTTTTTAATTTTGTTTCGTAAAGTCTTGACTCACTGCGCGCGACCACCCCAGCAGCGGCCTATTAAAACTTTTTTTCCATTTCCCGCGAATCGTGTAAAACGACGGCTTTTCCTGTGAGTGTTTTATCAATTTTCGTTCCACGAACCCCATAAGTCGCGATTTCGATCGTCCAGAAAACAATCAAGCTCCGTGTAAGTACAACAAGCATGAACTTCCCGAGCAGATGTGTAGACTTGAGCCTTTTATGAATTCCAAAGTCCACCCTTCGCGCATTGGCCATATACGGCAATTATAAATGCACGTGAAAGCGAAAAGCACATCTTCGAAGGAGGCCTTTTCCCGTCGATTCCAAGGCACACGCGTTGAATTTGCCAAGGGAGAGAGCGAGAGGGTTGTAAACGACAATTCGTGCCAGTGCACATGCACATACCCACGTGTGTATAGGGAATACGTGTAATATAGTGTATAATATGCACTCGGATGGGCCGAAGGGAATAAGGGACGGCTTTGTCGGTCGTACGTGTGTGCACGACGCGTGTTCAGCTTAACGGCTCTTCGAAGGGAATTTGAGAGATTCGAATTTCCACGTTTCGCCGATTTATCGTGGGACCATCAGTGGGTAATGCCGAGTGAAAATTTTGCCTTTTTTTTTTTCAATAAAATCGCTTCGCGAAAGACTTGGGAAACGAAAATGATGTTCTTGTGTTCCGCTGTCGAAAGAAGACTTGGAGGGTGCATGGAGTGGCTCGTTGAAACTTTGAGATTTACGAGCTCACGTGTGCGGGTGCGAGTGCCGAGTCGAAGCAAGCGCCTGATGATTTTTTTACGATTTTTCCGGTGCGGCAGGCGTCATCGATCGATCGGCTCTTCGAAAAAAATCGGATGCGGTGGTTGGAAAGCCGTGATCGTTAAAAAAAACCGTTTGTTCCCTTACAACTTGTGGATAAACGAATGCGCGTATTGTTTTCGCTCTACGTGAAATTTAATTCGCTGTCTCGTAAACAGGAGGGAAAAATGTAAATATGATACTATACGTGAGAGGAGTCGTTGGAAAAGTTTATGTATTATCTCGGAAAATGAGTCTTTCTTATGAGAGAGAGAGAGAGAATGGGAGACCAAATCTGTTTAGAGTCAACGTCGGCTTGTAAGTACGTGTCGAGACTAAATAATGTTAAAAGTGCAGGATTGTAAAACGAGGCTGTTGTTGATTTTCCACGGAACGAGAGAGACTCGAGTGCTTTCCATTATAATATAGTTTTGGGTTGCACTTACTTATTTACATCCCGTGGAAAATGTTGATTTATAAAATACTACAGTTCTAGGGCTCGGGTTTGTTATACATATGCTTTAGTAAATACTTTATATAGTCCGGGTGGGAGAACATTTGATTTTCCTCAAGTATATGCATGGAAAAAAGCATAAACTTGAATGATTGGAAAAATGTAGATTGAGCGTGTACGGGTGGGTGTTTGAAGGGACGCCGTCGATCTACGAAATATTTCATGGGGTAAAAAGATGGTCTGGTTTATTTTTCACGGTTCAAACAAAAAAAAAAAAAAAAAGGCCGCAGAGGAATCAGCTACAGCGCAAGTTTAATCATCGAACATGCCACTACATGAATCCGTGTAAACAGCAGCAGGAAGGTATCATCGAACGTCAACGGAATATCAAATGAAAAGCCGCGAGGGGACACTTTTTCCGATACTTATATGCATAGGTATACGCGACTATCGCGAATAACGTGGTTGATGGTGGAGTGCGCGTAGGAAAAATGTACCTGGAAAGTTTGTACTTTTTGACACTAAAAGGAGAGACATCAACAACAATAAATTAACGAGCAAATCAGCCTTTTTTTTACAAATTGTCGTTCTCACAGTACGAGGTGTATATAATAATGCCTTCACACATACAAAAGCAGCTTTGATCAGTCGATAGGTCGAAAAATAGTGTGGAGCTCGAGAAAAAGTCTGGTGAGTATCGGTGGGAAAAAAGCCGGATGCGCGCATCACAGAAAAATTCCAAAAGGGAAGGAACAACGGGGCGCATTATTAAAGTCAGTAGCGCTTCACTGACAGATGTATTTATACTTGATACAAGCAACGATTGAAGAGAATAAAGATGTGTAACGCGAGGCACGCGAAGCCAAACACTCAACCATTCACATGACAGTATACTTGTACGTCAGTATGTGTATGGCTTAACCCACTGTTGGGGGTCGCGTGAATGCGCGGGCTGATGATGATGATGACGATGGTGATTCAGGCGAGAAAAATTCCCGGCTGTCGATTGTCAAGGCAAAAGTCAGAGTCGCCGGCCGGCAGCCTCTGGGCGGCTCGTGTGTGCACTAATAAATACGAAGCGAGTCTTAAGTAACTAACGCTCGGGCTCTCACAACGGCGTGTATAATAACACCGGGGTGTGCGTCCTGCAATTGAAAGCTCTCGAGAGCTTCGTGTATCCCACACGTTACAGTGCCAATTTAACTGAGATCTGTTCGGTAGGCGAATTCCAAACTTTATTTTTCCTTTCTTTCGCTTCAATTGTAATTTTGTAAAAAAATAAAAATAATGTTAAGTATAGGAGCAGTACGGGTGCTGTACACAGGAGGTACTGAGTACATTTTATAGAAAAATGTCATCGCTCGCTCGATCGAATTAACTTTTTGCCGAGGAAACCAACTCGCTCGAGATGAGCTTGTGAAGATACCCGCGTTGGACATAACGTAATTTCTTCACTTATATATATACTTACGATGGAAGAGTTCATCGAACGCATGATGCATGTATACACATACTGTACCCGAGCATGTGCGTCAAAGGTGATGATGTACAAGTAGACTTATTCACGATAACAGTGTTATCATTTTACAGAATCAACCATACCATCTGATCGCCTTGGAGGTAAAGGCTGAAAAAATTTTTTTAACAAAATTACAGGTAAGTTTTATCAATACTCACGTTATCGAAAAATAAAATAAATCTGTAATTATACCCACTCGACAGGGAAGTTGTTAGCATGTTGCGTTGCATTTGATTAGAGAAAGATACTTCACATATTTTTGGATCGTAAGATCATCTTTTTTTCCATCCAAACGGACACATTGCTTTCCTAAAATTAACAAGACATGTTCACCATTAGCAACCCACACCCAAAACATTGAAAACCACTTGAAAGGCGGAAAAAAAAATCAAAGAGCGACAGAAATAAAGAAAAAGGAAGGAAAAGTTCGTAGGATCGAGTTGTTGAAAAAAAAAGGGGTGGTCAGCGTTACCATATCCACCCCTCTTCCACTGCGTCGCGTACCGCGGGAAAAATTCAATTCACCCTCGAACTCTCAACTGACACGCGATATTCGTTACAACACGCGCCTCCGTATAAAGCAAGTATACCTACTTATCACACGACCCGAGTGTTACTTACCACGTCAATGGGTCTGATGCAGTGTATACACCATACATCAACCCGCATATACCGTGGGCGTAGCGTATGTATAATATAGGCGCATTGACAATTATAATAAATGCTTTTTGCGCTCTCACGCGAACTCCGTAATTGCAAGCGAATAAGCTTTGAAATTGACTGCCACAGCCCCACAGCCTTCGTGGTGTATTGTATTTTTTGTTGTATATACCAATACATACGTACCTATCATATGTATTGTAGATTCAATTGCAAATGAATAATATTAAAAGCAGTGTATTTTACAACTGTTGTAGATGTTGCAGTCGCACCAAAAGTTACTCTTTGAAGAGTCACCTTGTCTATTCTATACTACTCCAAACCTATCCACACAGTTATCAATAAGTACTATATACTTATAAGTATACCGATAGATATCATTTTTAAGCACTATGGGGTGTGGCGGCGGCAACGAGAGCGCATGCGTCACTATACTGTGTGGTGTCTGGTCGTCTCTATGGTGTGCCCCCGAAGCCCGAACGTGTTGCACTGCGTACACATGCGACTCCTGTAAATAATAATCCGTTATAAATCATAAATAGACGGTGGGCTGGATAAGTTAATAAATTTACAAGTAATGCATCTACGCATATCAGAACATCGCTGAGTTGGAGACTGCAATCCTTGCAGTGTGCGTGGTCACCATTTCGCCAACTACACAGAGAGAGAGAGAGAGAGAGAAAAAAAAAGAGAATCCATCATGCAGCATATATTATGGAAAAAAGCAGCGTATACATATATAAAACCATAGAACGGGAGGGGAGGGCGAGAAATAAATATAGAAACAGAGAAAGAGGGGAATCAAGGCACACACCGATAGTGGGGTGGACCGGCCGGCGCACTGAGAAAGCATCAGAGAGAGCATAATATATGTGCATCAGCAACGCCGGCGCTCATCATTGGTGACTAAACAAAGACGGCGATATGTCAGCAGCGACGGTGTTTATATGGTTTATGTCCCCCAACCCCCGGGGTCGCTCCACATGTAATCTTATACCTACTACCTGTTTATACTTGTTGGTAAGTAGTTGTAGAGATGCATTGCTGCAATACGGAATCCTGTCGCAGAGAGGAAGAGTCCAGCCATCACAACGTCCAGCATTCAGGAATTTCGATCCGAGAGAGTTGCGTGTCCCGCCGCCTACAGCGCTGCTCTGCCTCTCCTTCCCTCCCTCCCTCCCTCCCTCGTTTGTAGCTACCGCGCCCCGAGCGCTCTCTTTCTATCACATGCAGACGCACATGGTGGATAAATATATAGGTATAGTACTTACCCCATACATAATATATATATATATATATTCTCCATTCCCTCCCCTCCTACTCTAGCCCCTGAACACTGTACAGTACGTTCTCTCTCTCCATACCGTACACTCTTAAACCACTGGACGCTCTTCTAAAGAGAGCTATACTCCAGTCGTGCCGTTCCCCCTCCCCCTTGGGCCTTTTGTCTCTCTATACGCTTTTGCACGGCAGCAGTGAGAAGAGGAGCAAAAGCCCGCAGCTCGCAGGCGTCGTTCGTGCAGTCAAGTTCGATCGCGCGTCCCATCCGCGTACGTACGCCGTATACCTACATACCGTTGGGGCTACGAGCTTTGACAGGGATCTTACTCGCTCTCGGAGTAAGTGGAGTTGTTTTTTTTTTTAGTTCTCTCTCTCTCTCTCTCTCTCCCCTTGTAAGCAGTGCTTCGTCCGGTTGTTTGTTGTTCTCGTTGTCGTACAGTAGTTGTACACCGTTTGTAAAAAAAGGTTGCAAAAAAGACATAGACAATAACAAAATGACGATGGCTACGGAGACCGAGAACAACGGGCCAGCGGCCGAGACCAAGGACATCAAGGACGTGAAGGAGATTAAGGACGCGTTGAAGGACGAGACGCCGCCCGATAATAAACAGGACGAGGCGGCCAAGGAGTCGGCGGCCAAGGGGGACGAGAAAAAAGAGGAGGCGGAGAAGAAGCCGGAGGACGGAGCCGTGGCTGCCGCCGGTGGCGCGGGTGACGCGGCTGCCGGTACCCAGGCCGCGCCTGCCAAGGCCCAAAGTGTCCACAAGACGAATTACGAAAAGGACACGGTCTATTTGTACCAGTTCCCGAGGACGCCGCTGCTCCCCAGCATATCGCCTTACTGCCTGAAGGTCGAGACCTGGCTGAGACTCAACGGCATCAAATACGAGGTGAGTTTTTTTTTTTTTTTTTTTTCTTTCGGAGTTATGTCGTTTCTTTAAGTACTATAGGGTGCTTTTTTTTTAAATTTTGGATTTGTGTGCGTGGTCATTGGTGGATAGATGAGAGCAAGATGCAGAGGCTTGTGTGGGGAGTAGTTGCGCGGAGCGGATTGCTCTGCCTTTACTCGGGATGGAGGGAGAGTGGAGCGAGAGAGAGAGAGATTTTACGAGATGAAATATATCTCTCCTTTCGGAGTCTGGGCCGTACAATATCGATAGGTCTGTTTGGATACGTGTATTTATGTATGCTATTCAAAGTACGAATGGATTTTTGCTGTAATTTGAGAAAGATCGATATTGCGTGAGAAAACGGGGGTGGGACCTCCTTTGGCGCTTGAAACGCTGCTGAGATTTGCGTGAATAATCACCATCAACATTTTTTTTTAACAATTTGCGCGTGAATTATGTGCTACATCAATCGATTTGATTTGACACAATTTTTTTTGAAACACTCGTGACTGCTTTTTTCGTGCAAACCAAACGCAAGAAAAAGTGGTATAGGTGGAGCACTTATTTCAAAGTACTTATCGCTTGAATACAACTCCGTGTATATTGTTGTACTTACTTTTAGAAGGTGTAAAATCTTAACGACTAGGTACCCTATTGTTGTACATAAAGAGAAATTACACCTCCACGTTTATACACTCAACAACTTTGTCTACCCTGCATATATACCTATGGTGTTAACAATCATAACGCTCTCTAGTTTATTGTAGCGCATGTCGATCGTACATGAAGCCAAATTACTCTGATTCCGCGTCTGGATAAAAAAAATAATTGCCGGATGACGGAAAAAAACGCGAATTGACAACCTGGTCTATGCTCTCATACAGTGTGTTTGTGGCATGTATGCTGGATTTAGGTTGTGAAGACAATAATTTTTCCATCGCTCCACAAAAATCATTAAAAAAAAGACAAAACGCTCACACATTTTTGGCAAACCAAAGCTGCGCAAAGGTCAAACAAGAGAAAATGGCGCGAGGGCGGTTTTTTTTATATTACAAACTCGCAAACACGCTGCTCTCGCGCGGAGAAACAAAGGGCGGGACATTTAAACTTTTTTCGAGAAATGAAAAAAAAACAACCCGCTAACTTCCCTCCTCCTTCCGGCTATTTTTTTTTTTGTATATATGTGCGCATAAAGAGGAAGATCGACGTCGGGGAATGCGTGAGAGGCGCGTTTTTTTGCCCTGCGACTCTTTTTTTTTTTTTTTTCTCTTTCTCCAGACGACGTTCATATACGTACGTCCATGTATATGTATACATGTGGGAGCCTAACGATACGGCCGCTCTTATTGTGACGCTTGATTTATTTCGTTCTCTTCTCCGTCTTTTCGTCGTCGTCTCGAGTGTGTTTGACTTGCGCGGAGCCTCCGTATCGCTTTTGTTTACGCGGCGTATTAAATTTTATCCATCTTCGGAGCTTGGGCGTGTGTCAGCCTCTCTTTTTTCATCGTCCGTTGTATGTACAAAAGCCGCTGCGGGGGAGATCGAGACTCTAATACGATGCCTCGCAAATATCCGGATTTCGAGTGTGTACCCATCAATGATAGTGTATATCAAAAAATATTGGAGTCACAATGGAAGAAATCAAATAGAAGATTGACGAGAGCGCGCGGGAATGTGCGTGTATTGTGTGTGTACACATGTCATTCCGCAAACATTGAATTTCTTGTTATCGTCCAAGTGACGAGTCGCGCCTCATTGTCTCAATCGCCTTCTTTCTCTCGCCTCTCCTTTCTTTGTTTCTTGTTTACATGATCGGGACGGATGGTGGACTCACGACTCGCGCTAATCGATCGATGTTTTCTGGTTATCGGTAATCATTTTTTTTTCCTTTCTTTTCTTTTTTTTTCTTTTTTTTTTGCGTGCGCTTCTGTTGTTAAAAAGGAAACTACTGTTTGTGGCCTAATGGTGCCAAACGCATGAAATATCAGCCCACCAAAACGTATTTTTATTTTGAAAATTTCCCCCCCTGACGTGCGGACACCGTCTTATCTCTCCGCTTATCTAAGCGACAGAAATAACTTTCCGAACCCAAATGGAATTTCTTCCATTTTCCGGTAATTTTATTTTTTCACCCACCGCTTCCTGCACACGTCGCGCAAGATTCTCGCACCCCCTCCCTTATTCCACCAATTTTCTCTCAGCCCCTCCCCCCCCGCCACACTGTCATCCTTCATACATAAATTCCCGACTCCTTTCCATTACTTCTTCTTCTCCTTCTTCTTGTCTCCATTCACTTTGCTCCACCTGTGCTCGTACTATGTGCTCCTATCTGTTTTCATTCCGATCACGATTCCCCGATCCATTCTTTCCCTCCCTCCCCCCCCCCTCAGCTGTCATTGTTGTTGTTATTATAGTTCGAAAGCAGCGAGCTAATATACAGTAAAGTAGGGTATACCAGCGCGAGTAATATCACGCACTTTCGATACAAACACATATCCCCCGACACGCGTCATTTCACCGACAGATACCTACCGTTGGAAATGTTTGACAACCCGAACTTTCGAATATATTATTTATGCCGAGAAATCGTGCCGTAAAAATAATATCATACTGCATAATACATATACCTACGTGCACGCACTTGCGCGATCTTCGTTTATAAATTAATTACATTCAAGTAGGCCGCCGACGTCGTGTCACACTTCTCGTAGTACCTAGTATTCGCGCAAAATCATGTTCCGATGAAGGAAAAAAAAAAAAAAAAAATCTCACACACCATTATGTTATGCCTACGTCTATTTATGGCCTACGCGTGCGCATATATTATAAATATACTCTCTCTTTCCTCTTTTCTTGTACGATGCACACTCCCTGACTCACACCTTTTCCGTTTCATTCTGGGGCCACTTCTTCTCTTTCACTTGCACACACCCACTTATTCGATTAAAAAAAAGGGCAACTATCTCTCCTCGTCGTCGTGCACGTGTTTCGCTTCAAAGAGAAGGAAGGAGGGAATAAAAGACAGTTCTCTTGCCTCTTTATTTATATTCACGCTGCTCCTCCCTTTCTCCGTACGAAAGTGACTCTATTGCAAAAAAAAAAGGCTTCGATTATTAATACCGGCCTCTCCTGCGATTTTCACCTCCGACCTCTTCGAAGCGCGTCGCTTGTATCGCAGTCGAAGAAAAAGAAAAATCGCATCCATCGTTCTTGACGCCAATACTTGTGTATTTTACGTACGTCAGCCGATTTTACGGATAAAAATTGCGCTCCAGACGTGTAATTTGCTATGGGGATTCCGTTATCGGTACTTGTTGTCAAAAAAAGCTTGTACAACCATCCTTGATAATAGCACGTTTAGGTAAGTCACATTACAAATATAACACCCCCCCCCCCACCAAAAAAAAAAATTGATCGCAATTGTATTCCTGATTGATTGAGATTAGAGAACACCAAGAGTCTAATCAGTGCTTGAGCACTTCAGTGGATCGTGCTGTCTGGGGTATCGTCGTGTGGGCGAGAGTGATTAATGTGTAACTGTAAATACAGAATGTGTATAAATAGTTTAATACGTTTTGTTTTAGATTGCTATGATTTTTGTAATAGTTGTTACTTCGTACAAAATATTTTTTACTGTGTTGTATTTAAAAATTAATATTTTTTGGTAATCTTTTGTCTTTCAACTTTTTTTAAAAGTTGAAAAATGTCAATAACCCTTTTTTAAGCACAACATAATTTAAGAATCGTAACTTTGCCTCGAACTTTGCTTTATCCAATGGCACAGTCGACATTATTGTTAAAAATTGCTAGAATATGCTATAGTTGTAAACAAATATCGAACCATGTGCATTTACAAGTTTTTCCAACAACTCGTGCCAATTTCTACTACAAATGTTGAACATTTATTTTTGTTATTCAATGAACCAAAATCGGAGCAAAATTCAATGTACATCAAATAAAATACTACGTTACTATAGTTGAAGATTTGACTGTGGTCCATCGATCGGCAATTGTGAAGCATACAGTTGAAAAAAAAAAAAAAAAAAAATGTTCGTCACGCCGATCGTTGAAACTGAGCTGTTTCGTCCTGTCAATATTCGCCCCCCAAGTCCCACATTAAATATTTAACCAAAGATTGTGTTTTCCACAAACACACGTAGGTACTTGCTTGTCCCAACATTTGCTCTTGACGCGCGTTAACAACGCCATTTAAAACTCGTCAAACATCCTGATGCTTCAAAAGCCACCATGCACACTCGTGCTCGAAAAGGGAAATTTTCGTGCATCCTCGAGAAGACGAAGAGAAGAGACGTAGGTATGGGCGAAGCCTTTAATCGCGACCTGCGCCACAGCCATACAGTCGCACAAGTGCGTGAGACGACTATACCACGAGAGCTCCCCCTTACAAAAAAAAGAGAGATAATAAGAAGAATTAAAGGCAAGGTAAGAAGGCAGCAGCATGTGGTTCGTCGACGAGAGCGAAAAAAAAAAAGGGAAAAGGAAAGATAAGAGAGCCCCGGGTAGGTACTGCACAAACCTATACACACGCGCGCATGTACGGGCACATAATACACACGTGCGGCGCGTGTACACGTTGGCAAGGAGATATGGGAAGCTGGAAGGTCGATCGGGAAAAAGAGACCGGAGCTGCTGCAGGCAGACACCATGGCCTATACCTTATACCACACTCTGCGAGCTGTGCTGGTTTTTGTACATGCTTTTTATTGCGCACGCGAGCTGCTTTTAGGGCGCGTTCACAAGCTGAGGTCGGGCTGGTGAGATTCGTATGCACCAGTGGTGTAAAATGCTTATATTGTTTTTTTTTCTTGTTTTTCTTTTTTTTTTTTTACTCAAGGTATAGTAAAATCTCAAACACCATAACTTTAGAAGACACTTTTATTCGAAGCCCCTTTTCAGCCCCAATATTAAAAAAAAAAAACTACACCGGGCGACGACAGATATTCGATCAAAAGCTCTTCTACTACCAACCCTGTAATTGG